CACTCTGACAGTCTGGCGATGCCTGCCATGACAGACAAAAGCCCAGAAAGGGTTCATCGGAGTCGCGAGAAGGTAAACCAAGGTGGAATTTGCACAGCCCAGCAGTATTCATCCTAAGGCAATCCTCCTTCGGTTTCTGATGAGACCAGTTCACAAATCCCTTGCAACAAACTCTCCATTCCAAAGGAATTTACATTAACTTATTAAGCGGTTCTTCAAAAAAAAGCTTTCTTTCATACATACGATAAGACAAAGTCTCAATTCATTGTTTGGTAATTAGTGTCGTCTATCTTAGAGGACGATAGGGTTAGGGAATACGCTGTTTAAATTATAAAATAAACTCGCCAGTAAGGCAAGTCGTATGAAGATCTTAGAGATTTATGTCATTATTTAGGTGAAAAACTGTATACTAGTACTATATCTACGATTATCAATCACTTAAAATCGGACGGAATAGAGATGTACCGAAAGTAAAGAGTTAAGTAAGCTACATTAATCAGAGCTAACAAGTTTCAAGAGTAAAGTAAATTCAGCCAGTTGCCAGATTAATTAAGTTTAAGATTTGATGTACCTGGATCCAAGTAAAATTCTACCAATTCAATCATATTGTTCACTACAGCCAAATGCAGAGGAGTCCGTTTCTCCGAGTAAGTCTCAGTAATCAACCTACGATGAGACCAGACGTGATGTCTTCTCGACTGGCCTGGCTCAGAGGCCAACGTGGCAGCCGTGTCATCATAATTGGCTTTGGCATCATCAGCCTGTGAAGCCAGCTCAGCGTGGGAGGAAGGATCACATATTTTTATAAGCGCAGACAAGCCAGTCTGTGCACCCTCTGGGTCCATGCGACGCGCGGATGGTAGCGAAGTGCAAGTGAGTCCCGTTGACTTATTGGCTGATTCAGTTGACCCACTGAAAGAGAGTTCCCGCCTATCCTCGTTAAGATCCTGGTTGGCCGACTGCGTCAGGCCACTGCAGCCTTGAATAGCACCAGTTGCGCTGGTACTGGTAATGAGATTAGAATTTTGAGAGAAGGAGCCAGAGACCTCAGATGATTCAAAATCGAAGGGATTGTTCTTTGAGTTGAATAGCCTTTCCTCTAACTTGGTACCAGCATGCGTTTTTTCTGGCTGGTCAATATTATTATCTTCATTTCCAAACGGATTAGAGAGGAGAATATTTGTCGCCTTTTTGCTAAGGCCACTAGCATCCGCCGCACTCTCATTACCATGGGTAACGCCCCTGTCAGATTCCACCCGCGTCACTTGTTCCCGCCCAGCGGTTATCGCCGACAAGCCAAGTCCCGGCTTCCAAAAATCCGGAGACTGAGAACGGTTCGTCAGTCCGCCGCTGCCTAGGCCGTAGACGCTAGTGACTAAGGATGGAGACGAGGGAACCTGATTTGCGGTCGGCTCGTTACTTGAGGCTTTTATCGATGGAGTAACAAATGAAGGACTGAAGAATTGGGCATTTGCAAGAGATAGGCGGGTACCTAGGCAAGACTTGTCGAAATAATGGGGTAAATAGAGATGAAGAATAAGAGAATAAATGTTAAAAAGGAGCGTTAGCATAAGAAAATGCATTAAATCAAATGATTGGAAATTTCAAAGTTCTCAGCTAATCAAATTCGTGAAGGAAATGAAGAGTATGCATGATGCCTCAAAGTACGCTGCTAAATAATTAAGTAAACAGATAAGCAGAAACGCAAGCAGGAAGATAATTTTAATAAAATACCCGAATTCTAGTGTCATCTTTGGCTGCCCACACGCCAGCCTGCGTAACCTCCTCCTTGGTCAACTCTTCTGTATCAAAATCCACACATTCTGCATTCCTTAGGCGAAAGAGAAGACGTCGCCTATTAGGATCAGCAGGCGACCCAGGGTAGCTTGCCAACCTAATAGCTAACTGAATAAGCCCAGCCTCAACGGCCAGGTGGAGAGACGTCTCACCCGGCGTGAGGCTCGACTCTGCACATGCTAATCCACTCTCAGCAACTTTTCCTTCGCTTTGGCCGCTGGAATTAGAGTAGGTGGCAGAGTCGAGAAGGAAGCAGGCCGCAAGGGCAGAGCCTGTGCGAATAGCGGACATCAGTAGTGTATCGCCAGGATATGGCAAAAGAGCTCGAGCTTCGGGTGAGAGAGCCTCAAGCCAACCTGTGAGTCAAACGGCCGAAAAAGCAAAAGATAAGAAAAATATTCATCAAAGCATTTCAATAAATGTCACTCTGAAATGACTTTGAAGAATCTCTAAATGGTTTGGTTAAAGAAGATTCCCTAATTTACTTTTTTCCAATGCAGAGCTTGCATCTGCCTAACCATGCTCAAAAATGTCAACCCTAATAGGCCTATGGACTAATCTGTAAGCATTAACTGTACATGTAATCACAAACTAACGAAAGGAGACGAAGTAACTTCGTAGGGATAGGAAAATATGCTAAAGACAACAAACCTTGATGATTTATCTAACGTTAAGAATTTCCTCATGCACCAAAAAATATGAATTTATTTTAGTCCAAATTTGCTATCTTAATAAATTACGAATGGTTATATAAGTATGTTTAAATAGATCTGGGAAAGCCTATTGAAGTCAGGAGTCTTCCAAATATGAGCAGACCCTTAATACGGTCAAAATGCACAATAAAAAATGGTTGTTGTTAGGAGTTTTGGAGATGTAGTATTTATTGACACAAATGGTAATATGATGACTAGTGTCAGGATAATCAGACTTAACAAATAATTTTATGCTTGGACTAACGCGTAAATTTATGAATATATCCATCTCACCGTCTGATTCTGAGGATAAAATCTTCCGAAACTCCGTGACTTGTTCAGCAGCCTTGCTGGACCCGGGGCCACCATCACTGACAGCCGTATCCAGGGCCTTGGCGACAAGAGCTTCTAGCTGGAAATGAGCCGTAGGGAAGGCGAAAATGTTTTGAGTCGACACGGGACAACGCCAATTTAGACTAGCCCCGACATCCGAGAGGCGGTGGGCAAATTGCATACTCACAGTACTGTTGGCCCGAAAGTTAACTGAGGATTTTAAAAGGGTTAATCATTCAGTTGAAAAGCTATTTAATAATTTAGAAATAAGGGTGCAAGCCAGATAGATATAAGCAAAATCCCACTAAGGAAAAAAGTTCTCTCTCTCTTTTTAAAGTAACCCAGCTGCCTTGCCCCACATGTCCAGCATAATTTCCAGTTGACTTCTTGACCGTTAAAAACATGAAAAACAATTAAATACACTCAATAAAGCCGATAAAATCTGGGTCTAACTCAAAAACGAGCGGATACAGGCGTCCCAGAGTCCAAACTACGAACAAGAAGGTTCTTCGTTCTTTAGGTTGCGGAGGAAATATGGCAAGTTAAGATAATGGAAATTGTAAAGATTTTAATATTCTATAAAAAATCAGCGGTGAATAATTACAAAACATCTTGAAATGAGAACAAGAAGTGACTCTAAGTCATTCTTATATTAAAGTCTTTACAAGCTTGAGATCATTTCATGGTTGCTCCATATATTCAAAGCTAGTTTGCGTGCTCTATCAATAAAAAATTGGTTCTCAGTTTGTTGCAGCCATAATGAATTCCGTTGCACTGTCCGACAGTTGATGCGGCAAGGAGTGATATCTAAATGACCCAAGATAAATCTAAAAAGAC